CTTCACCTTCATAGCTGAGATGGCATTGGTATGCACACGCTGTTGCTGTGCCAGCCTCCACCGTGGGACAGGGTCCTCCTAAGATTTTACTGCTTAGATGAGAAGGGGGAAGAGTTCAGACTATTAGTTTAGCTTAAAGCCCCCAAGACTGCACAAAGCAGGGGTTACATCTATTAACTGTGAGCCTAGGAACTGTTTTCCATGGAGGATGAGCTTAGTTTTGTTCTGGAGAACAGTTGTTTATCAGGACCAATTTTCTGGGAAGGACCGTTCCTTGGCCATCTCAACCTGGGAAATGGCATTGTGATGCTTTACAAGAAAAAGAACAAAAACTAGTAACTTTGTTTAAGAACAAAATGAGGAGAAAAAAACCCAGCAATTTTAGAGAGGTGGGTTTTTTTAGATCAATAAAAGACCTTGAGGCTGCATAAAACCAGCACAAAACATTTGATATCTTCCTTTGGGAGGATTAAAACAGATGTTTTCTCTTTTCCAATGGCCAGTATCTGACATTTCCAGAGAAGACGCAAAGAATATTTCTGGGATGTGTGTTAGAAAAAGTTCTGCTCGCAGCTTATCAACTTGAACAAAAGCTGGAGTCAATCTCATAACCTACATCTGGTCACACTTAGACTGGAGAAAAGCCACAGCACGTCCAGTGGAGCCAGTGTAAGGAGGAGCAAAATGAATGCTGAGGTGACCAGTGTCCCTGACGATCATGAATGCAGCGTAAAGCCCTTCACACTGGGTAGAGACAGCTCAGAAGTCTTCTGCACGGCCTCTTACAACAAAGACATCACAACAATGTTTGTCTTTGCAAGGATTACATACAGCCTGAATTTTGCATATTAGTATATGTGGATTTCTGCAATTCGCTCACAAATCCTTCTTTGTTAAAGTTTTGCAGCCAGAAGTTAGATCAGAATGCAGTAAAGGCATACAATAGCAACTCATTTTTTTCTCTCTTCTCTCTTTTTTTCCCCGCTTAGCTGCTTTGCATACAGATTCACAGATGTGGCAGGATGTGTTCTGGAATCTTGGTGACTGGGATTTGCCAGCACCCATTTGACAAATGTGCCCTTTTGTATGGCTGAGGTTAAGCCGCTGCCAGAAATGTCCTTCACAATTGACAATAATCACTACTAATTTGGAATTTAGAGCACTCTGCTTTGCCATTCACAAACAGCATTTCAGTAGTCTTCCAGCCAGGTACATCTCTAGTTACAATAATTGTCTTTCAGTTAGGGAGCTAATTGACTGTACTGTAGCAAATATGGAATAAATCTTGTTACTATGGTAGCCAAGGTTTTTTTGGAAAACGGTATTTCCCAGACCACAAATGCCATTTCTCTGAATTTTACTTCTTTCCCTGAAGATAGCCCTGTCAGTGCAGAATTGTGAGAGATTTGAAGTTTCGCTTTTTCTAGTAAGAGTTCTGCAGTAAGCTGGTTGCTTTTCAGTTTTATTTATTTTGGTTTACTTCACCAACTTCTGTTTTACTTCACCAACTTCACCAAGTTGACAGAATACAAGTGTGTGTCTATCTTGTATCCTCAAGCTAATCACTACGAAGACTGACACCTGAGAAAGAGATTTGAAGGAACAAGATGAAACACAGTCAAAATTTGACCTTGAAACACTAGAAATGAGTCCAAAGGATGGCATTGGGCTTGGAGACTTCTCAACCTGTGCAAGGACTGGTCCAATGTCTGTGTCTGAGCTCTGTCAATTTATTTTCTTCATCAAAAGGGTTGTCAAGCTTTGGAACAGGCTGTCCAGGGAAGTGATCGAGTCGTCATCCCTGGAGATATTTAAAAGATGGGTAGGTGGGGTACCTGGGGACATGGTTTAGTGGTGGAGTTGGCAGTGGTAAGTTAATGGTTGGACTTGATGGTCTTAAAGGTCTTTTCTGAACTAAATGATTCTCTATGCTGAAGGTTTACTCAGTACTGAAGCCAGACTTTTTGCTCAGATAGATAAAGGTCATTTAGGGGAACTGAGGTAACTTTAAGGGAATCGAGCACAGCTTCTCCTGGATGTGGTACATCCATCACCGTGTTGTCTTGTTCAGTGAATCATGGCATGAAGAAGGTACCACCAAGGCTGTATCCTCAATAGCATTAATGGTTAAACTGTGATTTTGATTTTGTCTCCTTTTCAGCCACGGGTACATCCTCAAGTGTTTTAACAAAGTATTTTGTTTCTTGCTTCCCAGAATACCAAGTGCATTTCATAACACAGCTGTTGCGAATGTTATGGCTCTGTACACTTCATGTGTTAGTCTTTCCTGTGCTTCCCCTCTGAATCACATTTAATAGGCCAAGTTTTATATTTCTCTACTAATTTGTTGAAATTTATTGCATTTGTTGCCTTCCCCTTTTTCTTTTGAAAATCAGGGGAACTTCCAAATTTCAATTTAAAAGCATTTTGTTCTAATTCATTTTGTTTTTATGGAGCATAGTATTTGTTGGAGGGAAAGAAGTTGAGATCATAATCTGGCACGGTCGACTACGTTTCTAAATTTTAAACCGCCGCCTTCTCTCTTTTTAAATATTTTCTCTGCCAATACTAAACATTTTGATCATTGAAAATGTAAATTGTACTCCCCATAGATGCTGATGGATTGCGGATATATTTACATACAAAGGAGCTGTTGAATGACTCGCACAAGAAGTTATTTTCTCCTTCTCAGCCTTAACAGTACAGCAGTTTTCCCCCCATTTTCTGTAGTTCTTGGAATGGTTTGCCTGCCCATCAGTCTCTGAGCAGTGTTTGAAAAGGTGCATGTGGTTGAAATGTGTGGAGTGGGAGAACTGCAAATGGTTTTAATATTTTGGTGAGAAGTGCTCGTGATAGCAACTTTCCATGAGTTGTGTTATGTTACATGCAAAGAACACTCGGAGGAGAAGCTTGAGGGCAGCGGCGGTCGAGGGAAGGAAAGTCTGCCAACATCTTGGGGCTGGGAGGACAAAGCACAGGTTTCATCAGGATACAAAAATCCAGTATTTTGGGCTAGGATTTGACTTTCTCAAGGCAGTTTAGCACCTTGTAACACTGGTCTTGCTGGCCTGGATGTGTGCTGTCAGATCGTTATGCCAGCCCACAGCGATGGTACCCGTCTCCTCACTGAGCAGCGTTTTGTGGGGCGAGTGGTGTCTGGTTCTTCCATGTCTGTGTGCCTGCTGGGCTCCGGCCTTTGGCACAGATTTCTCTGGCATGAATTACGAGTTGTTTCTTTTGCGATATTCAGAATACTGAGCCTGGTTGTGTTTGAGAAGACTAAACAACACACTGGTGCTTCTCAGAGAGCTCTGGAAAGCCCCGAGCTTCAGCGCATCTCCTGGGCAGCATTTCAAAATGTGCTTGGAACGTGTTTGCACTGCTCAGGACTGGGATCCTCTCGTGAGGCCCATAAGAACAACTCTGAGACTGTAACAGGCTGTAACACTGATACTAGCATGATAGGTTTTCTTAGATCTCCCTGTTCTTTCTTAGACTTATCCAAATATCGGGTCCCAAACTGTCCTATCAGTTTGAGATTCGCCCAAGCCTTTCATCAACTATTATAGAACCACCTTATAAATAACTTTGTTTTATACATGTGACAGTAGTACTCAAATCTGAAGAGTGTATATAGTAGACTCTCTTGGGTCGCTTTGTCTGACTTAGTTACTGTCCTCCACTCGATTTTTTTTTTATTTAATTTGGAGCCCCCTCAAGAGTACACAGGCCAAAGATGACCCTATAGGTAGACCTGCATCCATGCTGATGTGTTTTTTGACCAACAAAGGGATCAACTGCTGATCATCTCTACAGAGGCTGCACCACACTCCTCTGACTTGTGTTACAGCTTTCCGTTTTCTGTTTTTTGTGTGATTTATTGACTTATGCTGTATTATTTGCTTCAGAATTGATAACGTTTGTGTTAAGTCCCAAGCATGGAGTCAGGGGTTATTTAGAGGCTTTTCAGGTTATGTGACCTCTCCTAGCAAACTTTGAAGGGCATCTGTTGACCAGCCCTGGTACTGTTTGTTTTGCAGGGAAGTGGGGTCTATAAAAAGGCTTGTTACACAAAGTAAGTGATTTTCTTTTTGCTAAGCAAATATTAGCAATACGTTTTGGGAGATCGAGCATTCAAAGTGAAAAAAACAGGATACCTGCCAGGTATATGGGAAGCATGTGAAGGACACCTTTAATTGGGAGAACACGAGATGGTTTCAGTATCTTGAGTCTGCAAGGAAGCCAACACAGGCTCCTACCCCTCTCTTCATTAAACTCTAAGGCAAAAGCCAAGGTGCTGTGCAACAGACACAAATCCTATGACTTTAGCAAACGAGCAAGGTACTGATAAGGGGATTTTTCTAGAAGGTAGTTCATTTTCTGAATGCCCGAAGTAACTAATAATGCCCAGTTATGGAGAGCGTGTCCCTTAGTAGCTGGATGACTGCTCACAGATGTATCATAGTTTTGGGATCATTCCTTTGTCTTGAATAAAAGTTGCAAAGATAGTATATGGCTAAACTGTTTGGCTTAGGAGTAGCAGATCAACATCTAGCTTCCACATGTGGATTTCTGCCTCTGCTGTGGTATTGACAGGAGGTTGAATTTATATGCATGTAGTTTATAAACAGTGAGAATACTGGAAATGAGGTCATATTTTATATAAACATTTATTTCAATATTTTAAAGAACAAGCCATTCAAAACATCTGGAAATCACAGGAACATGAGTCATATATAATAGCAATATCTTAAATATGCATTAGTAATACAAAGTCATCTTTCACTCAGATAAAAGTTACAACTTCATTTTTCTAAAAAACACTTAAGCCGTGAAATATGTTTAGGTAACACATATATACAGCATCTAATTTTCTTTTTTCTTTCCTATAGAGTCTGAGACTGCAGAGGCTTAAACAATGGGCTACACCTTGAAGGCTGGATTGGTTTAGATTGCATGTGCAGAGCTAGGCAAATAATTTACACTCATCGTGGCTATAGGTGCCTGTAAGTGACAGATCAGGGTTTTGACGACCACGTGCACATACATTCCCAGAGCTGCTCACCTATTCACAGCAACTGATGCAGTTATAAACTGTTAGGTCTGGAGTTATTTCTAGAATGCCTCTATCTATATTCCGACTAAACTAAGACGTACTTTCATTATAACCCACGGCCCATCAGTGCTGTTATGCTTCCAGTGATTTGGCAAAATGTGTTTGTCCTGCTTAGTATGTGTGGATTGATAAACAGTTGTGGTTTTGATCAGCTACAACTGCTTTATCCTCATCTCTAAAGCAAGCATTTCCCTTTCTATTTCATAGGGAAGGTCAGCATTAACTTGCACTTCAAAGTACTGTTTGATTTCTTCTACCTCCTTTTCCCAGAACTCTTTGGAGATATCAAACAGTTCAGTCAAGTTGACATCTTCTAAACCCTTCAAGTTCAAAGCAGTGTCAGCAGGGATGTAACCTATGGCAGTTGGCTTGGCAGAGGCTTTCCCATCAATTCTGTTGAACATCCACTCCAGCACACGGGAATTCTCTCCATAGCCAGGCCACAGGAATTTCCCTTGGCTGTCTTTCCGGAACCAGTTAACATGAAAGATCCTTGGTAGTTTTGCAGCTGGACGATGTGCCATGCTGAGCCAGTGGGCCAAGTAGTTGCCAAAGTTGTAGCCAAAGAAAGGTCTCATGGCAAACGGATCGTGCATAATAATTTTGCCTATTTAAAACACAAATGGAGAATGTGAGGAAATAAATGGCATGCTTATTCTAAAGCATGAAGATTCATATCCTCCCAGGATGTAGTACTCATGGTCCCTTAACCATTCTTCCGTACCTGAACTGAAGAGCTTTAAGAAAAAATACGGTTCTTGTCTTTGATGTACAAAAAAAAGTAAAAATTAAACTGATTTTTGTAACCAGTTGAAATTACATTTCTTAAATCTCAGGTCAAGCAGCTTAAATGAAGATCCTAAAGAGCTGGCTTTCATGATTTGTGTATTTATGTTAAGCTCTAGCAGAAAAGAAAATTTAGGTTTATTTATCCCAGACTGTGATAAGAACTCCATACCAAGGCTTCTGGCAATCCCCTGTTTGCACCCTGTTCTGTGTGCTTGCCACCTCGAGGATTATTTTGCTTAATTTGAGTTTTACAGAGAATTTGACTTTTAATTCCAGTACAAATATTTTCTATTGTGAAAACGCATAGGTTGCAAAATGAGCTGCCAAGACTGAAATGTGAAAGAGCAGGGGAGAAGGACAGAGCAGGCAGTCCAGAGAGGATTGCTTTTAATACAGGTAGGCAGATTAAATTTTGATTTACCTTTGTGCTCAGCAGCTGCTGTTGCTTCAGATCTCATAGCTGCTCCTATAAATACTCCATGCTGCCAGTTAAAGGCCTCATACACGAGAGGCACACCTGTAAGGAGTAAAATCACTTCAGTAATTAGATGTCCAGAAAATTTTTTGCTATGTAAGTTATGGTTGAAATCATGTTACTGTGTAATGTATTCTAATTTTTCCTTTTATTTTAAATGAATTAATTTCCTGCCCTCTTACAGCAAAGTTGTTTATATGAACGTTTTCAGAACTGGCTACTGATTACTAAACACACTTATGTTTAGTTGCGCAGTGGGAGATATCTGGAACCTCAGAATCCCTGGCAGATTTTACTGGGGGTAGACTCTGGTCCTGTGGTTACAACATTAGACTCAGACCTGGAGTTGTTTCTATTTCTTTTCCAACTTTAGACAACTTTTAACAGATCAATTTATTTTACTTCATTTTCTGTAAACTGTGTACCGCTGGTTCATTTCTCCAACCGTTTCCCATCTGAACCAGTTAAACTGCAAGCAAATAGAGACAAGCACAGCGATTCCTCACATGTCACTAACCCAGGTTAGTGGGTCTTGATCTCTCTCCAGCTTATTATTATTATTATTATTATTATTATTACTACCTGTTTTGTGTTACCATCTAACAGTTCCGACATTGGAATATCAGTGGCTATAAATGTGTTTGTCAGAGGCTGACATGGACAAGTCAGACTTTTGCAGCTGTGAAAGCAAAACCTGTGTCTGTGCCTAGTTATGTTTCAAGCCTTCCATGGTCACCACTTCAGCTTTGGTACGTGGCTGCTGCATCTCTTACCAGCAGGTCTGCGGCCTCCAAATATGATCCCTTCAATGGGCACGCCTTCGGGGGATTCCCATGCAGGGTCCATGATGGGGCACTGGCTGGCTGGAGTGCAGAACCGTGAGTTGGGATGAGCACAAGTTTCCCCTGTACAGAATATGATGAAAACGTCATAATGGCAGAATTAACTTGACTTCAGCAGAGCAAACCGAGAGAGGCTGTGGAATGGGTGAGGTTACCGGTATCTGGAGTCCAATCCTTGTTCTTCCATGAAGTCAGCGTGACTCCTGGTGGCAACGTCTCATCAATGCCTTCCCAATAGACACCTCCATCGCTGGTTTCTGCTACGTTGGTAAAGATGGTGTTCTTGAATATGGTTTTGATAGCATTGGGGTTTGTTTTAACTGAGGTTCCGGGAGCTACACCAAAAAAGCCATTTTCTGGATTGATTGCCCTTAAGTTGCCTGGAAGTTAAATGACAAAATAAAAGCAAATCAAACTGTTTCAACTCTATCCAAAATTTGAATTAGGTGTCTTGCTGCACCTAAAAGCAACCTGGACTGTAAACCAATCCAATTTCATTTCCATACCTTGTTCATCAAATTTCATCCAGGCAATATCATCACCCACACACTCAATTTTCCATCCTGGCAGGCTTGGGTTCATCATGGCCAAGTTAGTTTTTCCGCATGCACTGGGGAATGCTGCAGCAAAATACTTTTTTTTACCCTCTGGATTGGTAATGCCCAGGATCTATTGAAAAATTAATGTGACTGTTAAACACAGGTTGTTTTCTTGCGCTTTTCACTTTGAAGATTGTTTCCCAGCAAGTGGTAATGATATAATATTTAATCATGCAAATTTGTTCCTACAGGAGAAACACCAACCAATATAGTTGACAAATAACTCAATCTGCACTTTTCTTTCACTTAAAATATCTGTAACAAGTTTTGGGTTTTTTTTTAAATGTCAGGTATGTATATAATTCACTTATTTTATTGAATAAGGATACAGACTGTGTACAACTGTATTCCTCAGCCGAGAGAGGAAAAATAACAGGCAATATTCTTTTGGCTGTATTACTGGAGTGAAGTGAAAGCACTTCATGTACGGAAACTTCTGCTCTTCTCAGAGTCCATAGATATAGGCAATATTCTTTTGGCTGTATTACTGGAGTGTAGTGAAAGGACTTCATGTATGGAAACTTTTGCTCTTCTCAGAGTCCATAGATATGTTTTTTGGAAAATGTTCTCTTATGCCCTAGAAACTCTTTTTTTTCAGTGGTAGTAGAATGTTTAAATGACAGCAGAAAGTAAAGGCAGGAAGGGTACAAAGCAGAATTCTCTTAGAAAATCCAGTATTTGGAGATTTCTGAGTGTATAGTTCTCTTTCTAAAATGAAAGACAGTTTTCAAAATTTGCGTTAATCTTTCCTATCAGACTTACAGGGCCAATGTGGATGCCCAAGGATGATGTTTAGGCTCTGCTCAAGTATGTGGGGCTGCCTATCAGTAGCCACTGTTAGAAGTTCCAAATCTTTCTTGTTTCTGATTTTACACGTAGTATTTTGAGATGTTTGGTACTTAACCTTGCAAGCAGTTTCCTATTTCTCATAAGCCTGCCATGTGATAAATTCATATCTAATGTTACAGCACTATCTGCATGAGACTAATTTCATTGATAGCAAGATGTGATGTATTTATGTTGAGATAATTTAGGGTTTAATGGCTATTCAAACACACATGATTTACTAGCTCTTACCAGCATGTGCTCAGCTAGCCAGCCCTCCTCTTTGGCAATTCTGCTGGCAATTCTGAGAGCAAAGCATTTTTTCCCCAGTAAGGAGTTTCCTCCGTAACCGCTGCCAAATGAAATGATCTCTCTGCGATCCGGGAGATGGGCAATCAGCGTTAACTCTGGGTTGCACGGCCAGTTGTTGATTAATGGTTCTGCAGAACAGAATGTTGTACTTGTGAATGCAGCAATTTCCATGCTGGATCGCACTGTTTTTTCATCAGCTTTGAGCATCTGACAGGAACCCGTACCAGATGCTTTAAAGCAAAACCCCTGATACGTACTAGCCATAATAATCTCCTTTCTGTGAAACTCTCATTGATATTTAATTCCTTTGAGTTCTGAACCTAGTGCTGTTGCACAAACCACCGTTGTCTTCTGTGGTGAGTTCTTCCCATGTGCCGAGAACATGCAGTCAGCCCCGTAAGATGCCCCTGGGAATTTCCAGGGGTCTCAGTTCTTAATATCTCTTACCTTTTAGTGGTAGCGGACACCCAACCGAGTGAAGGCACTTTACAAACTCTCCATCACTCAGGGCTTTCAAAGCAGCTGTTCCCATCCGTGTCATGATCCTCATGCTGGCCACTACATAGGGCGAGTCTGTCAGCTCAATCCCAATCTTGGACAAAGGAGACCCAATGGGCCCCATGCTGAAGGGGATGACGTACATTGTGCGTCCTGAAAAACAAGGAGTAGCAAGATGTGGCAAAGAGCAAAACAAGGGACTTTTGAAAGTCTTTATCGCACAGGGAGGTTTTGTTTCTCACTCCTTTAAAAGCTGTCTGTCTTAAGGATGTTTCTAGCGATGTTTAAAGAGCTGTGGCATTTTTTTGTCTGGTTATCATAGAATCATAGAACAATTCAGGTTGGAAAAGACCCTTGGGATCATCGAGTCCAACCATTGACCCTACACTACAAGTTCACCCCTAAACCACATCTAAGCGACACTTGAACACATCCAGGGAAGGCGACTCAACTCCCTCCCTAGGCAGTCTGTTCCAGTGGCTGACCACTCTTTCTGTGAAGAATTTCTTCCTAATGTCCTTGAAGAATTTCTTCCTAATGTCCAGCCTAAACCTGCCCTGTTGCAACTTGCAACCATTCCCCCTGGTTCTGTCCCTAATTCCCTGTGAGAAGAGACCAGCCCCAACCTCTCTACAATGTCCTTTCAAGTAATTGTAGAGCATGATGAGATCCCCCCTCAGCCTCCTCTTCGTTAAACTGAGCAGACCCAGCTCCCTCAATCGCTCCTCACAAGGTCTGTTCTCCAGGCCCTTCCCCAGCTTTGTTGCCCTCCTCTGCACTCGCTCCAGCACCTCAAGATCTCTCCTATACTGAGGTGACCAAAACTTAACACAACACTCAAGATGCAGCCTCACCAGTGCTGAGCACAGAGGGACAATCACCTCCCTTCTTCTGCTGGTCATGTAGCAAGAAGTTTTATCTTAAATGCTGGAAGCATCTGTTCAGACAAATTATCTAGCCAGTAGTAAAGGTGGGTGGAGGCCAAGTTCTCTGTTGGTGTAAAACACTGAACCTGAAATTATTGCTGAGAGCGGGGGTTCTCCATTCTCACTCTATTTCCTGTCTGCTGCTTAGTTGCTATGTGACTTGAAGAAAATGACTTGAATTTTTCTATTTTAATTTGCCCCTTTTTATGAAGAGAATAATGCTGGAAAGACACTGAGGACTATCCTTGCACAGGCGTTAGGCTCTATGGTAAAGACCTGGATGAAACCAACCAAGTGACTAATATAAGTGGTATAAATCTAAACCTTCAGCTAAAATCTGTCTTTAAAGAAAGATTATAGTAATTAGTAGTAGTAACTCTCTGCAATTCTGGAAGTTCAGTGTCAACTGATACTTTTCTTGCCTACCTTGCATGCAGCCTGGGAACCTGGTATTGAAGGCTTTTTCAAAATCTTCTTCAGACATCCAGCGACCCAGCTGGCTAGTCCCAGTTTTAGGGATCGGCGTGGTATCTCTCTGTTCTTGGGTGATGATAACGGTTTTGCTCTCAATTCTTGCCACGTCTCTTGGATCAGTGAGAGCCAACCAGCTGTGTTTCACCAAAAATCAGGAAATTAGACTTTAATTATCAATATAGCACTTTTTACTCTTCTGTGAGACTGGTTTAGCACAAAAGGGTACAATGATTTGTAAGGCTAAACCACAGAGATGGTATAACAGACAATCTCAAAAATCTGTCAGATAAATTGTCTCGTACAAATTGCTTCAAGACTTTTCAGTATGAATAATAAATAATATGGCCTAGGAAATTCTGGTTACACATTAATACTCCTTTGCCTCTTATCTCAGTCTCTGTTGCTAACTTCCAAGGAAAAGTTAATCTTGTTTAATCCTCATTTTCATCAGTGTGAAGTTGTTTTGCATGGGGACCACAAAATGATGCCTCAAGCAAAGTGGATGCCAAGCAAGTACTTTAAGTGTTGCTGTAAGTGCCTGTGGAATCGGAATCCAGCTTAGTGGATTGGCATGGTCCTTTAAGTTAGAGGCATCATGAAAAAAATACTGAGAAAAACCGCAATCATAAAGAGTGAAGGATTTTATTAAAGTGGATTCTTCTTCCCCTCTAAAGAATTTTTGCCATCTATTTACAATAGAGAGAATTGTTTTACATTTTCACCTCTGTGCATAGAAATTTTCCATGAGTATAAAAATGTTCTAGCTGGGCTGTCATAACCATCATCACTACAGCTAAGCATATAATTAACAATGAATAATTTATCTGGTGAATCTTGCCCTTTTCTCTCCCAAATAGTCTGCAAACAGATTGCCAAATTCCTCCACTTAGTTATTCAGAAGTCTTTGCAGTTTTCTTCCATGGTCAGCACGTAATTCCTGAGTATGTACTTGTTGTTAATATTCTCCTTTCATGTTGAGTTAGTTGGGAGAGATGATGAAATGCTTGAAAAAAGTATTTGCTGCATACATTATAGTCAAAGCTCATCGGCATGATATGAATAATGCCTGTACTGAATAATATTTGAACACCCACAGAGCTATTTGAATGCCACAAAAAGTATTTGATGAATAAACTAATTGACTAAAATAGTAGAATTCTTCAAAATATGTATTTGTTAACCAATATTTAGCCATTGCTAATGATTAGTTACATGTCTCATGACATTATTTCAGTTCCCTGATATAACTAATCAATAGAGACAATGCACAGTTGATAGCCCAATTGAATAATATGCTTTATGTTAAGTTTTAGAGGAAAAGGTTTGCTCTTCCTGAGTATTTCACCTATGTAAGCTGCAGTGCCAAAATGTTAATGGAAAACAAATGTTGAAGGGTTATAAGCAGTTCTAAAAGTAAACAGGATCGAAAATGTATATCATAGTTCTGAGATGATACTTGACTTCCTTCAGGGCACTCACCAGTTTTCATACTTGCTCAGCTTCTTGATCATGCCTTGTTCTACCATGATGTCCAGAATTTTTTTGTTTTCTTCTTCGGAGCCATCACAGATATGAATGCTCTCAGGCTGGCACAGCTTGGCATTACTTTCAATGAAATCTCTTGCATCTGGAGGCAGGCTCTGCAAATCCCCCTGGACAACCTTGGGCATGACATTTACCTCGGCTTTCAACTGTGGGGGCATTACTGAACCCGCAGTGGATCGTGTTGATGGCTTTGCAATACTGATTACAATCTAAAATCAAATATATTGGGTATGTTAGCGTACTATGATATTCTAATAAATATCAATAAGCCTTCCTGAAAATATATAACACAAAGGTAGAATTTGTAATAGACTTGATCATGTGCTTCTGTTTTAAATTCAGTATAGAGAACCTAGATCACTGGTAATTTTAAGCTGGAAAAAATAGAGGCCATTCTACTTACCGCCTTTATAAGACTGAGGTGGATGTCAGAGAGGATTCTGCTGTCCCTTTCAGCTGATCCCGTTTCACTTGCTTGGGAGTATTCTTGCGATCCACGCTTTGCAAGGAAGCATCCTCCTTCCTTAAATATTTTTCGTGATGTCCATCCCACTAGGTGAGGTGAGAGAGGCTTGTCCTTGACGTCACCACTGGATGTGCCTTGGGACATTGCCACTGACACTGTCATCATGCAGAGTTGTCAACAAAGCAGCCCTGACGAGGTAATAATTTAACAGGTTTGATTAATGAATGCTGAAAGCGGTGATTCTTAGCCCCTGGGTTTGCTGTTTTGAAGCAGTTTGACAATTTAGCAGTTTAACCAAACTTGGATCCAATTTGACTTTGAAGCTAAAAGCATCATAACTTCTCGGTGTGTGGGAAAGGTTGAGTACAAAGAGTATCTGGAAGTGGGAACACGGGGTCATCCGGGCAATGCGCAGTTGGCACATCTGGTAGGCAGATCCTTGCTAGATGGCTGTGAAGTGGAGGCTCGTCCAAGGTGTGTTTACCCACCTTGGGAACATTGCTTGATCTGAGGATAAAGTTCAACAGTGAGCACTGACAGGCTTGAATAACCACTGCAGAATGCCTGCCTGGAGGCCTTGTTTTTGTCCCGGCAATTCTGAACAAAAACCCCAAGCAATTTAAATCTAAATGTTGGGGTTTTCTTAGTGCAGGAAGAGAAAATTTTCCTTATGGCTTGATTTAGGGTTTTGCAAACTCGACAATTGTTTTCTATCGCTGCAAGCTCAGAAGAGACAGATCAGTAACTGTCTCAGTAATTAACTGCCTCCTCCAAATGCTATGTTTTATTTTACTGGGAGTCCTCTGGGGGTCATAAAATATTAACTCGTCTTTAAATTAGTACTCAAAGCAAGGGTGCAAAACTGCTCAGGAATGTAGCCACACTCTTTATGTGTGAAGTGCATTGCATGCATATGTGTATATCCAGACATGTACACATCTGTACCTGTTGTGGCAATATGTGATACCAACAGCCACTACTACTCTTAGAATTCTGAGGGTGAGAGTGTGACTTCAGGCATTTTGAGGTCTTGCCTCTAACTGTTCCTGCCTACTGCTCTGTCTCTCAGCAATTTGCCTTCCCCTACTCCATTTTAGACCACCACGCTCATATAGAAAGCTTGATCGTCACATCCACTTGTCCATGCAGTGTGGGTGTGTGAAGACTGAAGTACTTCAGACAAATAAAGCTGTAGAAATAACCCTGCTGCCATTTTATCTCACTCTGCTTACACGTAGTCCTAGCAAAGCATCTGGGGCCTGGATGATGTGAGGCTTTCATGCCAACCTGTCAGTTTTCATATTGATGGGGCTTCCACCAGGCACCTGAGATATTGCCAACAGTAATTTGCAGAACAGGAAATCTGTGAATCCCAGCTAAGATTCAGGGAGTTCTCTAAAGCAACGATACCGATGTGAGTATCCTCCGTGAAGGATGTTCATAACCCACCACCCACTCAGGCTTGTGCAGTCAACGAGACTTTTCCAGCAAGGCTTCCGCTGAGGCAACCAGCAGGGATTTGCAAGCCCTGAAAAAGCCAGGTCTGGTGGAAAAGCACAGATCAGGATTGCAGCTTGCCTTCCTGCTCTTGCAAGTCTAAAATACTACGTAGCTGAATCTCATGCTGCCGGAACACTTCCCCTGGGACTGGATCCTCTATCTCTCCTGCAAAGCTTTTTATTATGTTTTGTAAACGCAAAGGGAATAGTGAAGTAAGAGGGGTTGTCCTTGATACGCTGCAAGGCCAAACATTCCTGAAAAGGAAAACAAAAATCTGGTAGGATAAGAGGTGCTAAAGACTGCTCCAGATGGGGCTCTGCCATAAGGAAAGGTATAATCAAAGACAATTTAATAATGATAGCAGTGGTGTTTCTTTGGAGTCCACCCACTGTGTTTCTGGGGGAGCTGATCAGAAATATTTTGGCCGACTGTTTTCCTTTTAAAATATATCATTAAGCACTTCATTAAATTTGAAGAAAGTGGGGTGTAATATTCAGTAATATTGAGCAGAGCTCTTTTTAAGTGAAGTACAAAAATACCGAGTCCTTCCTCTTGGCCAGATAAGTCATTATATGTAGAAATAACAACTGAGTGTGAAACAGCGATGCTTCAGCTGTCAGAAGAAGACAGTGGACCAGAAAATGATCATATTGCAGCACAAGTAAAGTCAGAACAAAAGCTTAAAATTGACAGTGTAAGACAGCAGTATTAGTCCTAGTGCCTCTTCAGTTTTGAGTGGAGGAAAAAAATCCCCAAACCCAGAGCATTAGTTTCTGCCAATTAAATTATAGTCAGGCAGGTGTTGTGCAAATTTTCTCACACTGCAATCCTAACCTCCCACAATCTTGCTATACAAACTGTGGGCTTCTCTTGAGAAGACACTAAATATGCCAAATTGGTGGCACTGTGTTATGAACATATGTCCATTAAAAATCACATTAAGGATTCCAAATGTTTTTCATTTGTGATGGCAGCAGGGCTTGAGTGCAGATGTCCACTGGGAATTCTAGACACTTAAGTATCAAATTACTTGTATTTAGGTAACACCTCCCATCAGAGGATCTCAGAGCATATCACAAACACACAGTAAGCCTCAAGCCCCTATATAAAACACGCATAGTGTTTGGAGCAATGAAATAACTGGAGGATATGCAAATCAGGGCCAAGATTTTTTTTCCAAGAATCTTCTCATTTAGAGATACCTCACAGAAGGCACTAAAGGTTTCATCTGAAGATAGTGAAGTCTCATAATTCAAAGTGTCTCCCACAAAAATACCCTGGGAGTAGTTTCTCCAGTGGCTCAGTTCCAGTGGTCCTGAGGTATTCACCCAACACCCGTGTGTACTGTCTTTTGCCATGTTTGCTGGAAGGTGTCACTAGTGAGAAACATAGGAGGCGGTATGGGGGCAATGTAAGGTCTTTTAAAAAAATGATTGTCTTGAATATAACATTTATTTTCCATTTAAATGAGATTTTTTTTTAATAGTAACTATATTATAATACTCATCTAATAGCTGATAAAATTTCTTAGGATTAAAATTTTTTTCGTACTTTTTCTCTGTGCTACTTGACACTTGAATGTGATGCTCATCAGGTGTCTTCTTGGAAGCTGTCAAATTATTTAAATGAGTGTGAATCTGACATTTTGAGATGATAGTGTTCAACAAGTGCACTGAAAAGAGTGTTTTCAGGGTGTTTGCTTTGATGGACACTATTCAGGCTGTTTGAAACAGGGTTTTTGAGCAGTTTGGCTTTTACTGACTTGCTGGAATTCAGTGTGATAAACGTAAAGATTCTTAGATGCTCAGAAAATGTGTCATAAGAAAGCTTAACTCATCACTACCAATTGAGGTGCAACAACGTACTCTCAATGAGATCTGAAAGTTGTTAATGGCAGATAATAATACTCAGAAATTCTACTTCCCTCCCATTGCTAATTATCCTACAAATTGTCACCTCCAAAGAGTTTGTCACTTGAGTATTTTTTTATAAAGTTGTAGCTTTTTCAAAAGATTCTCTGAGTTATTCTACTAATGGAAGAATATTGCTCCTTGACTGCTGTTTTTGCTGTGATATTGTGCTCAGCTGATACTGAGCATCCTGCAGTTGCTGTTGGACGGAATGCGGCACTAGCACAGGTCCAAGGGCAGCACTCACAAACGTACAATTCCCGGAGACAGAGCAGGGACTGCTCCCTCAGTTTCCAGAAGAAAACATGAACTGTGCAAATTGCCTGCAGTTGCAAAACAGTCTATGACTGAGCCAAGTGTTTATTCCAGAATCTGCACAGCCCTATGTGATGTTTCCACCTCACAGCCCCTTTTCTTAGGGGCAGTTCTTCAGCACTGACCCAGCCGCAGGAGGTCTGGGGGCTCTGGGCACACGTCCTGCACGTTCCTCTCCTCGTGTGCCACATGAACCGTGAGACTGAGCATCTGTGACCCAGCAGAACAGGTAACAGCAAACTGGGAGCACAGTGCTTCCCTTCTTGCCTCCCTTCCTTCAACCCCAAACGATACAGCGTTTGTCTTGGACAGATTGTAAGTTTTAACATTTGTGGATCACTGATGTAACCTCTTTGCGTGTCTTCAAGTGGCTTGTTCTGATGGCATAGGAATAAGAAAGTGGAGAAAAAACCCCAAACCACAGATTTATTTTGATGTGACTGCACTTTCATTAGCCTGTCCAGCATTTTCATCTTGACAACAGACATGCTAAAACTTCTCAAAACAAATGGAAGTAAATCTCACCAGAGGGGAAAAATGCAGTAGTGCTTGTTTATGGTCTCTGATGAAGGTCACCAGCCTTTGATGCTTAGTTTAGTATCAGCTTCTGTGATCAATCTTGGGCTGTATTTTAAGGAAAGTCCTGGCTGTGCCACCGCCCATGCCAAGGCTGACATTATACCACAAGCAGACGGGTTTCTTGCTTCTTACTCTTCTGCTTTGGCAGAGAAACTATTTACTCTTCTTAGTTCTCTTTTCCATCTTCTCCTCTAAGTAAAAAAATCTGGAAGTTTTCTAATATGGTATTGTAGCACATCCATGTGTTTTTTTGTGGAGGATACTAGAGGTTTAATTCCTTCCTGTCACATTAGTGACCCTTCTCAGAGACACAAGGTGTTTATAGTTTGGACTCTGATTTTGCACCTGAATCTCAGGTGGGAGATGGCAGCCCACATGCAGAGCAGCAAGCGGCTCCCCATTATTGCTGTTTGCTCAGTTAGTGACTCTGAGC